GGGTCACTGGTGTCAGGGTGTGATGTATGGATTATGTTTACTGTGGCATGTTTTGTTTGTGAGCCAGGCTGTGGGAGTGGGGCAGATGACAGATGAAGATACCTCACTGTTTCACACTTGTTCCTGTGGTCCCAGGTCTCAGGCATAATCAAGAGCCTCTTGTGATGGAGGGGTATTCACATGCCTGTAGTGGACTTAAAGCTTTAGGTCTGTGACTGAGCTTGGAGGTGTGATAGTCCGGTGCTTTGGTATTTTTGGTTAGAACTGTTATGTGACCTGGATAAACACTTGGAATTTGCTGTGAAAACCAATTGCAAGTGAACCACCCAGTGAAATAATTTGCCTGGCTGAAAGGTTGGTTCTATTTTTCATCCTAGGGCCTCCAAGTGTCAGCTGGGTAGTCTTCGTCACCAAAACACAAACAGCCAAATAGAATCATAGACTCATAGAGTGGTTTGGGTTGGAAGGGACCTTAAAACTCTGCTTCCAATCCCCTGCCTTTGGCAGGATTATCTTCCACTAGACCAGGTTGCTCAAAGCCCCATCCAGCCTGGCTGTGAACACTTCCAGGGATGGTGTGTGCTGTCAGGGACCTCAGTGATGAATGTCTTCAGAGGCACCCTTACCCTCCAGGATTCAAGTAAAGCATTAATTCTCTTAAAAAATCAAGTTTGCTGTAGTGCCTTTACACCTGGAGCAGGTGGGCTGCAGAGGTGGGAGTCAGGGCATGGCAAGGATGGCCTTTACCCTTGGGGTGTCTGGCTTGTCACCGTGACAGACATATCCTTGAAGCTTCTCACTGGTCTCTCCCGTAGGTCTCACCTTTCCCTTTTTTCCCCTTCTTTGCGTCCGCCTAAATGGACAACTGTGGTCTGTTCGCGGGTTCTTCTTACTTATTTTATCTCCTGAAAGGGTCCAACAAGCTTTTACCCACCGAGTCTATAGAGAAAACGGCCAGGCAATTTTTGTTTCAATTTAGGCGTCTCTCCGGAGCGCTAGTTCCAGAGACTGATCAATAGGTTTTATTGTAGACCTCACTGTCTCTAAAAGCACCGTGACCTTATCCCGTCTAAAAATAGCATTTGCTCTTGCTGCCTGCAGAACCTTGACCTGTGACAACCCATTTGGAGCATAACTGACACGTGCAGTCAGCTGTGCATCCAAGACCTTTGCACGCCCCAGGAGAAAGCTCCCCCTGCTCCTTGTAGCCCTTGTTGGGAAGAAGGAGAGAGGGAGGCATGCGGGGGTGGATGAGGTGCCCTGCTCCCTCAGGAATCCCAAAGTGGATGAGGGCTGGTCTTTTCCAGGTCCTGAGCAAGCCGTTGCTCCAGCGAGCACCTCTGAGCATCCATCCCTTTCTTTTGAGAAGAGCTTTGCATGCAAACCCAAATCCACGGTTGCACCAGCACCTTGTGCCTCATCCCTTCTGTGAGACATGGCTTTGGTGTTTCTGCTGGGAGAGCTGCTAAGCCCTGGCAGCTTTGGGAAGCGCTGCTCTGGAAAACGTGGTCTCCTTTGCTTCTGAACTGCTCTTAAGACTGGACAAAAGAAGGTCACCTAAGTTAAACCAGTGCCTGGTCAGTGGGTGTGTTTTACTCGTTAAGGTAGTTCCCAAGGACAGGGTGAGGTGGGAGACCTCAGCATGGATTTTGGTGACCTACTGATGCACCACCGTGGCTTGAAGTGGCCACCAGGTACTTACTGCCTACAGCAACATCTGGCATAGAAGAGCCCTCTTGCACACGTGCATCCTCCACCAGAAAGGGATTCTTTGGTGTTTTCCGTGCAAATGAAGAGATGTGGGAGAAGCAGAGCCTGTGGACCCTGCCACCCCTCCCTCCTCAGTGTGGCCAGACTACCTGGCAAGGGTTAACCCGCCTCCCCGGTTAGCAAGGTCTGGTGAGCAAGGTCTGGTGCCCTGCCCCTGGCAGATGAAAAGGGAAGCAGCTATGATTGCAGAGCTGTAAAAGGTGGCATTTTGTTCTCCCCGCTAACAAAAGCCAGGACTATTGTAGCCTCCGAGCTTGAAAGGGAGGTCACTGGTGGTATTAGTGCAGCTAATCACGGGAGAGGCCGGGTGGGCTCCGGTGCACGGCGGAGTCTGCTGCTGGCGGGGCTGAGACCGGGCACCCCGGGCTGTTCCCAGGCACAGGTTCCTCTTTGGTTACACAAAATGTCCGCTCCCTCTCCCCTAATGCACAGGCTATTATTAGCCGGTGTCACTCGGTTATCTGAGAGTGGCGCTTTTAGCTGCCATCTAAGTGCTTGACACTTGGGTTTACGGCAGATTAAATTAAGTTTTAGGCTGGTTTGGCTTTTGCTGGGTGTAGACAAAAGGAACAGCTGCCGTGGAAATGTAATCTGGCACTGGAGAACGTGGAGAGCCGACTGGTGTTGCCTTGTGCCTTGGGCTTGGAGGGTCTCGACGTGCAGCCAATCCTTTGAGTAGCAGGTACCTAAAGCATCATCCCTTGGAGCGTGGGCACCTGAATCCCCAGCTCAGTGGGGGGGCCATGTCCCTACCAGCCAAAGTGTGTTGAGATGGGAGAGCATTTGGATGTGACCAGCTGGCAAGCGCAGGCACCAAACTGGTGCTTATCTTTGTGTCTGTCCAAACGCTCTAGTGCAGAGCCCGTGATAAATATTATTTACTTATTGATGAGTCTGTTGGTGCAATCCATTCTTTTTGCTGCTGGGCATGTTTTTGTCTTACTCACGTTTGGCTAAAAAGCAACAGGCCTGCAAGATGGTTCTCCACAAGTTTATTCTGCCCTAAAAGCAGACCAGGTCAGGTCCAGGCCCAGAATTTCGGCAGAGATGCAACTGACTTAATTGCCAAATGTCGCTGCCGGTGAGTGGCACGAGGGATGGTCATCCCAAGTGGAGATGAGGGGGAAAAGGGGTTCAAAAACAAGGTCTGTGTTGGAGACAGAGTTCTTCTGAGCCAGCTATGGGTGGAAAAATCTGGTTGAAGACCTTTCCCTGAGGTCTTCAACTGCTGCTTGAAGGTCATTCTTAGACATCAGATCTAATATCACCTCTGTCTTTAAAGTTAGATTGATAGGGATCAAAGACACCTCACAAGATCAAGACACAGCTGGCCCTGCTCCAAAACTGCTTCCTCAATAACCTTCCTCGAGAAGAGAAGGGCAGGAGTCAGCAAGGTTGTTTGTTTCAAGAGATTATTTTTCTCTTCACCAGGACGACGCTGTTCCGGGGCAGCTGGTGCTTTGCCCTCCTGAAATGAGGCATTGTCCCCAAAACCTGAGGCAGTGGGATTTGGGGGGCAGGGGGGCGAGGCTGGCCCAAAGATGGGGGGAGCAGCCACTCCACACGTGTTGAGTCAGCCTGGGTGGAACTAGCAGATGTTACAAAAGGTAACGTCTGGGTCCCTTGAATTTATTGGTGTCTTTTCTTATGGCTCTGGGGTCAATGACTGATGTAAGAAATGCCATTTTTCCTGCATAACTTGGCACTGACTGGTGTGCAGCTCTGGCAGGCTGTCCTGCTTTCCTTTCAGTCCTGCACCCTGTTCATCACCGTTCTTCCCATTTGTTTGCCTCCTGGCGTGGGAGAGTTCCCTGCAGCTGTGGTTTTGGGTGCAGGGTGCATTGCAGGGGGAGCATGCACAGGTGCTGTGTGGGCTTGGAGGCTCCAGAGCCAAGGGCAAAGCAGAAACACCTCTTGGGTTTCTCTGCCCAGCCTCGCTTTTGGGTTTGGTCGATATGAGACTTAGTTATGACATTAAATTTGCCACCTTTCTGAATGAGGTGGGGACAGTGGTGGGAGAAGGGACGGGGCAGTGACGCAGCCTCGGCGTGGGAGGCTGATTGCCCCCTTGGCAACTCTTGGCAAGTTGGAGACCTCCTCGAGCAGCCCGCAGGGACACGCAGCGAGTCCGGCCAAGTTTTGGTCCTGGCGCTTTCTCCTCATTCCCTGGGGAACTTCGGGGAGAGTCACAAATAATTCAGCTTGGCCCGGTGTTTGTTTAGTTGCAGAGGGAGGTTTCTGTCTCAATTTCAGCACGTGGTGGTGCGTTCATCTGAAAAATGAGAACCTTTTTTGGGCGGGTAATGTATTTGCTGGAAAGTGTGATTGGGTGAGTTTAGGTACAGCTTTGTCCAAAAAAAAAAAAAAAAAAAAGAAATTAGAAAACTTTTGGCCACCGAACCAAAGTCTAAACATCTTTTATTTTATTTCAGTGCAGTTTTTCCCTCTGAATTTTCTATTGGGAAATCAAATGGAAAATCTGGTTTATGTCCTACACAAATTAGGAAAATGGAGCTCCTATGAAGGGGGTGAAGTTTAAATTATTAATGACTGTGCAACAGCTTGACAGCCTCCATTGAAAAATAGTTATCTGCTCATCTTTATTTAGAGTTTTGTTTAGTGTTGTGGCAAGATGGAGGTTTCATATGGATTTCTGGGCACCTTTTGCCAGTAGATGTTTTGCAATAAGTGGATAATGTGTTTTAATCATCCCCACTGACCCCTGGTGCTGTTGCTTTGAAATGTATGTTGTTTGTATGGAAAGCCCTCCTTGTCCATTGTATTTTGGGAGTCTGGGAGTTAGGAGGAGGATTTTACAGAGTGCTGATTGTGCTGCTCTCCACCTTGATGTATGTTGACCTGGCTTTGTGGAAGGTGGTGGCTGCTGCTCTTTCTAAGAAGCTCTTGGAAACCTGGTTTTTCATTCTGTAACTCTCAAATTTAAATTAGTTGTTGAGGCTGCAGTACGTGAACCCTGTCAAGTTCAAATCTTTTTTTACATAATTCACACCTCATGTCTGATGGGAGAAAAAGTGTTTCCTTAAATTAACAAAAACCTGTAATTATTTTCTTCCGCATGTTGAAATTGGAGAGAAAGGTGTCTCCTTGAATTTTATTCTTTCCATAATTTGTTTTTTCTGTTGTTTCAGAATAATTTAGTCATGTATTTATTAAGAACTGGCAGCATCTGCTAATTTTCAGAGCTCTCACAGTGATGGCAACATAAAAACTTGAGGCCAGAAGTGGGGCCAACACCTTATTTGCAAGCAGTCACATTTATTTTGGTGCTAACGCTGCTCTGCTCGCAGAGGAATATGGTGTTCAGCATAATAAGAGTATGAAAATTTGGCCCTAAGCAATCACTTCTGCTGCTGTTGGGGTCAGATTGCGGAGCCTTTACTCATCATGGTAAGTATTTATTAACCTTCAGAGAACAATGGCTGTAATGAGATTACCTGGGTAAGTGCTTATCCCGTCGGGAAGGAAGTTTCTCAGAGCCTGGGCCCGCTGGTATTTTAAGAGAGATAAGGAGGGCTCTTTGCTCCAGAGGTCACTTTGCTACCTGTGCTGGCAGGGCTGGAGGGCAGCAGCACCCCAGCTGGCCAGGAGTTCATTCCTTTGGCAGCAGTGGTTTAGCTAGCTCTGTGTTGTCTTTCCCAGATTAGCCGTGCAGAGAGAGAGAGAGAGAGAGACAGAGAAAGAAAGGAAAAAAAAAAAGTCTGTGTTTGAGTGACGTGAACAAAGTAATTGACTATCAGTATCAAGAATTACTGCACAACCATGCAGGGGACAAGTCAGAACATACCTTGACAAAACCCTGCAACAAAGAGCTGCTCAAACACACCCTTGAGTCTCGGGAGCTGTAAATTGAGCTTCAATTCCAATGAAATACTTTTAGGCTTTGTGTACGTTTTTGTATCTACTCACAAGCGCTTCAGTGCCATGCAGGAGCTGACTGAAGTCCCCAAAAAGAAGCAGCAAGCACCAACTGAGCACTGAGATCAGTGGTTCATGTTGGTCCATGGCAAAGTGGCTTTAGTCTTTGTGAATTACGTGGGATTTCTGTAATTCCCACCTCGTTTTCCCATCCGATTCTGTGTACTTCTCAAAAAATTCGGGGAGCTGAGGCAGCTCCTCGGTCATGTTTTAGTCGCTGTTTTTTCTCACAAGGGAGAAACAAAGAGGGGGACGTTGTACCCTGCCGTGTGAGTGCAGGGATCGTTCTGTGAGCGGCTCCACACCCATTTCTTCCTACAGGTTAGAGACACATTTTTGGCACTGGACACAGTAAGCGTTCCAACATGTTTTTAATCTGCGGCTCTCAGGTCTTTAAAGGTCTAGTGTCGTGGCTCTGGTTGCGTGCACATATTTCAAGGTATCTGACTAGTGCAAAATGTGGGTAAAATACCGTGACATGAATTTAATCTGTTGGTAGGAGTTTGTTCTGTGCTTGTTCTGCCTGTCCTTCGGTGACACTTTCTGTGTCCTCAGCATTTTCCCTGTGACACTAGATGCCTCTTCTGGATTCGTGGGTGTCCCACAAAAGGCTGGTGGCAACACCCTGTGATACTTGTTGCATTTATTTCAAAGTGCTGATTGTTCATTTTCTACTCAGTGAGCACCTAAATGATGAAACCTGGTGCCAGATCTGTGGAACTCTGTTGACTTGAGTTTTTGATCAGACTCGATTTTGATTTAAATTCCTTCCCCATTTGCCCAAAATGCAGACTGTACCTATTGATTTTCCCCGTTCTTCTCCAAATGGCATTGCCACAGCCCAAACTCAACCGGCCTTGTGATTTTTTTCTCTGATGGTTTTTCTGAGAGGCAGAGCTGTAGGAGCAAATGTCTGGGGGGGACACCTTCCAGGTCATCGGGTACAGTCTGTGGCCTTGGATATCCAGAGGTGGCCAAATCTCGCCTTATTTTGTGTTTTGCTCAAGCACATTGAGATGAGAACAGTGCCTGGGGTGGAGTGGTGGGTGGGGAGGAGGGAAGAGGAGATGGATGATCCCTCTGTTGTTCTGGGAAGATTCAGCGGTTGCCCTTGGTCCTTTCACCTCCTCGGGGCCATGTAAGGGTTACAGCATTTTAGACGTTTCCCAAAGTGTCAGCGTTCAGAGCACCATTAGGAAAAGACTAGATGGATGGCCAAAACATAGGGGCAAAATAAATTAGGCAGTTCAAGAGCTGCAAACAAGTCATTTGTGGGGGGTAACGAAGGCTTGCGGTTGCGAGGCCATCCCTTCTCCAGCCCACTGCAGTGGTGTTTATAAATCAGGGTAACAAAACAGGAACCCTTATAAGGCCTATGTGACATTAGAGATGGATTTAGCTACAGAGTGTAACACTGCATGCTGTGAAATCAGATGGATGCCCAAACTACACTGCAGGTTGCATGGAGATGGACAGCAAGGCTGTGCCTTTGGACTGGGGCAGACCTTCCTCAGATATTGTGTTTCCCGTTCTGCAGAGAGGGACTGTTCAGCTCCATAGGTTCAAGCCAGGCTTTTTCCCCGTTTGTGGCTCTCTTGTTCTGCCTCCTGAGACATTGCTCTGTCCTCCACTCCCTCAGGGAGAGACCCAGCATGTCCCCTTTGAGCAGTGGTGCCTCCTGTCCTCTGTAACTCCATCTGTAGGGTCTCTGGCCATGCGAGAACCCTCCCAGTTATCCCCATCATCCTTTGTGCACACAGAAACCTGACTGGCTGGTGTAGGTGCTCCTAAGTGAGCGGTATTATATTACCCCACATAAATGTCACATTAATGGAGCATTACAACCAAAAGATGCTCGTAGATCACTCTAAACCATTTTAGGCATCTGTTACGCTTCTGTCACCTGCTCCTCACCCATTTGTTTGTGTTTGGGATGGGAAGGACGCTGCCAGGAGAGGACCTGGGGGGAGCTGAGAGTGGGCCAGCATGCTGGAGCAGCATGGTGGAGCGGCCCACCTTTTGTCTGGGAGCTGTGCCAGGGTGAAGCCCAGCTCCACCAGCCCGTGCTGGAAGAGGTGTCACAATGTGCAGCTTGGCTTGGAAGGGGTGTTGATAGAAATTGCTGACTTATCTGAGCTGGCTCAACGCCTTCTCAAAGTCCAGTGTAGGCAAGGGGGGAGCCCGAGCGTCGGCGCAGCCGAAAGCCCACGGTGCCTCGGCTGTGACGGCTTTCTAGATCACACCATGTAACACAGCCCAACAAAGGGCTTTTAAATCCTAGTCAAGAAGACAGACAATAGAAGGTCAGAGTTTAAAAGAGAAAGTGTGCCTCAGACTGATGTAATTCCCCTTCTCCCCCCTTTTCTTAGTGTGAATCCTTTGATATTTGAGCAGGGAAATCCTCTTTATCGGGGAAACTCCACCTCCTCTTATCTCATACTCCCTCGAAAATACTATCTGCTCTCCCGCCTTTCAAGCCTCCCGACTGGGTTTGTGGTGGAAACCTCCCCGTGTGGGCATACAGTCCTCCCGTCCCTCTTGCCAGGTGGGCACAGCAAGGCTTGGTGCTCCACACTGGGACTCACTGTAAGTAAACACCCTCTGGCAAACGACTCCCATGGGAACCCACGCTCACCTGTCATGATCAGGATCCTGGGAGCATCATTGTCAGGGTCCCGGGAGCATCGTGGTCAGGATCCCAGGAGCATCGTGGTCAGGATCCTGGGAGCATAAGGGGTCTGCAGATGAGGCAGCCTCGACCTGTTGTGATGCTGGAATCAAATGAGAAGGCTTAGGAGGTGAATGTTTACCTTTCAACCATGTTTACCTTTCAGCCCAGCAAATAAAGGTCTTCCTCACCTTGTACTGCAGAGCAGTCTTTTTCATAAAAAATTAAAAACTACACCATGTTGAGTCAGACCAGAGATCCTTCCAAACCTGTGTCCTCTTTCTGGTCTGAACAGAATGGGAGTCCTTGGAAGCAGCAAAAGACACAAAGCAGGCAGGGAATTTTCTGTTCCATGCTGTGCTCTCTTGTCTTTCCTCTCTGACATTGCAGGTTGGATTGGAGCATCCCCAACTCTTCCCTCAAGGTTATGCCCATCCCTTTTGGTTACTTGCATATATTTTGCCTGAACTGGGGCTTGGGAGGTTGCATTACATTGCTGATTGCATCAGATAAGTCGTGTTTCTTAACCTCCTTGCAATGGGCTCCAGTAAGACTTGTTAGCACTCTTAATTTGCTCTAACAAACAATTGCAAAGCTGGGGAAAGGAATTATCCCTCTGTGTATGCTCAAAGCCGCTGGGTATCTCTGCAGGGCTGCAACTGCTCTGGAGACCAGAGAGCTTCTGCTCTTCTCCTGCTCTGTGGAAAATCAGATCATGGCTCTGACCCGTGCTGCTGGTAATCACAGAGGACCAGGCTCTTCTTCCACACAAGCAGATTTTCACCTGCTGTAACACCGCAGATGTCAGTAGGCGTATTTTCAGTGTGTGCTCATGTGGGGCACGTGGAGACATGCCCAGCACATTTTTGAGTGTGGAGGACACCAGGCATTAGGTACCTGTCCAAATGTCCAACTGGAGTCAGCGACTGCTGAGGATGATACCCAGGGAGTTTTGTTCTTTCCACATCCAGAAGAGCTGGTGAACCACCTGTAGTCACACCTAGGGCAGCCCTTGAGGTGTAAATCACATGGCCAATTTGCACCAGCAGTTGTTCTAACCCTGAAGACACATCCCTGAAGTCGTATAAGAACGACCACTTAATTTTTTTTCTCCTTAAGCCATTCAAAGTGACTTTCCCAGTACGTTTGATTTTGGTGTTCACATTGCTCTCTTCCCGCCCATCTGCCACCAAACACACAGGGCTGGGCCAAGAATTCATGAGACTTCTTAGCAACATCTTACAATCTTCCCACCCTACTTCTATGCTCCTGCACTTCCAAATTATTATAGTCTGGAAAGGAGCTTGGCTGCAAGAAAACTGTCCATGAAATGGTGCAGAGTGGAAGGAAACGGTGTCATTAGTTGTGCAGTTGCTGTAGATTGTAATTCTTGCAGCTTTCAGTTCCAACCCAGATTAGTGCTCCCTTAGCTTAAAATAACAAAAAGGGAACTGTCAAAATCAGAGCAAAAATGTTGGCATGATGAAACACGTTAACAGGTAGCCATTAGCACTTTATGTCTGCATGAATAGTGTCTGTAAGCATTTTATTGGTAACAGAGCAGGGAGGATGGGCAGTAAATGGTGTTCATTTTCAAACTGGAGTGTTGCTTTAACTGCAGTTTTTAATCGTTGTCTCTTCTTGATCAGGGTACACTGGGCTGGGGAGGTGCTTTGGGACATGGCTTCAAGTACAAGGCTTTTGCCAGAGAAAGCAGAAGACAGTGGATAGTCCAGACAGGACCTGTTATTATTCTTGTTTTGCTCTTATAATGTGTGATTGATACCCAACTCTGAAAGAAGAGTGAGGGCATAGCTGTGGTGTGGACTGAGACATGACTGTAACATCCAGGAAGGGGCTGGTGTGTCCAGGTGTATGAGATGTAAAGTCACCACACTGACAGCAGCTCTGGGTTGCACTGCTGCTTTGCTGGTTGGTATTTGACTGATCACTGATGGTCATTCCTGAGCAGCAGTGTCCAGCAGTTGCTTGAGGGAATGGTAGACATTTATTTGGAGAATAAAAACAAAAAAAAGAAAAAAATAGGAAAAAACCAAAGGGGTTTAGGAACTGGCAAATATTTGCTCCATAAATTAAGGGGAATCCTTTTGGATTTGTTGAGCATTGAGGACTGTAGAGGAGAGGCCATTGCTGCTCCCCACCAAGTAGCAGGGTGTACCAGCTCTGGTGGCTGGAAGTGACTCCCACACTGCTTAAGCTGTGTGGTCTTCCCGAGACCTGGCACAGCCCTGGCAGTCCATTTCCACCCTCCTTTACCATCCAGTTGGTGTTTCCACCAGCGCATGGAGCTCTCTGGCATCCTGCTTCCTGCTGCTGAGGAGGTCCTTGGGAAAACAAAGATTAAAAAAAAAGGTGCATGCTGTCACTGCCTCCTGTGGGCCCTTCCTGTCGCATCCCTTGAAAAAACACGCCTTGTGAGTGTTTTGTTTGTGTCTCAGCAACTGGCAGCCCTTCTTGTTCGTGGAAATGTCAGACCCTGCCTCGTTACTGACTGCGGGGCTGAGTCTACGTGACTCCCTGCTGGCGAGGAGCTGGCCTGGGGCAAAGCCTTTCTTCCACCCGCCTCTCTCTGCCTGTTTTTTGTGCCCATGTGTTGATGAACATGAGTTGCCTCCTATTGTTTATTTATATAAGTGTTTTTGGGGAGACAGCCCGACAGCAGGCGGTGTCTTAGGTTGATTCTCCGCAATTGAGCTTAGCAGTTGCTTAACTGCTTTTGCTGTTGATTTTGGGTCTCTCGTGAGGTTTTACACATGGGTGCACATGTGGGCACAGGGAGGGATGTTGGTGCCTGCTGTGTAGCCTGAAAGCCTTGAAAATATCCCTGGGTGCAAAATGTGCCTTTTGTGCATCAGCATTTCATCCTTCCTCCTTTCCTGCCTTTCTTCCCAGAGAAAACAGAACAGTGCTGACAGTCATAGCATGATGCCTTGTTCTTTTCTTACGGGAGCGCTGAATTAATGGCAAAAACATGGTCTGGACGCCGCTCTACAGTCTTCAAAAAAATCTGTTTGTTTGTTTGTTTTTCCCCCTCTGCTCTGGTGTGGTGGTTCCTACCTTTCTGCCACATGTTCTTGGCTCGCTGAATGAATTCTTGCAAGACAGTAGCAGGGTTTGCACCTGGACAACCAAAGGCCACGGGTGGCTCTGTGGGACCCACACTGCCCTCCCTCCTACACAAGCTAAAACAATATTTTCCTCCCCCTGAACCTTACAAAGTTTTTAACCATAGGCACTTCTGTGGGTTTTAAGTTTTTTGTCTTGAATCCAAACAGCTTTAATCAGCATAAATGCTTGCGGTGGGTATAGGTTGCTGCATTTAATAAAGGGTGAGCTTTTTCCACCCCCCTTTTTCTTTCTTTTATTCTTTCTTTTCTTCTTTCTTTTCATCCCTTATTTTGCATTCCGCCGCGCGCGACGAGCGTTTAATCCCTGCCCTTCTGTCTGTTGAGATATTATGTTTTTTTAATAGTGCTTGTTTATGACTAAGGTCAAAGACAGTATTTCAGAACAAAAATTAGAGTTAGTTCATAATTGAGTACATATGTATGTTACTGTTTATTTTTATAGTTTGCTAATTTATTTTTAAACAGCTCGGTTGAGCCAACATGTTTATAGGTCTGTTTATCACATGTCTTGCCAGTCGGAGTGCTAAAAGACACATGCTTTTCAATAGCACAGATCCGAAGTGAAATTAGATAATACCGCCAGGTAGCAATTTAATTACATTAATTGAATGTTTAGGTTGAAATGTAGTTTTGCAGAGGCTATAATGGAACACATTTATAAGTGTCTGCATATAAATCTTGGCATTTAAAATGTTATTCAAGCCTGCTGGCGGGGAAATTAAACTCCACTGAGTGTTTTTGAGGGAGAAATTGGGTATTTCACCAGGAGTACAGTGTGTGCAGTCGCTTGGGGTTTTGGGCACTGTCCTGGCTGGTGGTGTGAACCTCTGTGGGTTCCCCTTCCCGTAGCTGGAGCTCGCAGGGAGTTACCTGGTTGGGCATCTGCGTGGCCTCATCCAGTGCCCTGGGGTAGGAAAAACGGCCCCTGTGAGTCCTGATGGAGAGATAAGGGGTGAGCTGCGCTTTGCAGGAGGGCAGAGAGTCGTACAGAGAGTCATACCTTGGCCAACGCGGAGAAAATGTTTGTCCGGCTGGAACCAAGTCCTTGTGGTCATGAACTAAGTGATTTCCCAGGCTTGCCAGCTGCTGTACCGGATTGTACCCGCAGGTTCTGGCCGTGGGCCGCCTTCTCTGTCCAGGGAGCTGCAAAACAGCCCTGGAAAGGCAGCTCGGAGGAAGCACCGCTGAGGAGCAGAAGCTGTGAATGAACCACACTCTCCAGCCCGGATGGGGATTTAATCCTCAGCGTAAACATGTACAAATAACGTATTGTCAGGAGAGGGAAAGGGAAGATTCCTTCAGTTTGACGGTGCCCAAGAATAGCAGACTTGGTTGGGAGAGGACTGGAGAAACTTCTCTGGCCCTGTTTGGTTTTGCTTACACTGTTGGCTTTTGTGTGCACCCATTTCCAAGCAAAATGCCAAAGTTGTGGCATTTCTAGCACGTGTGGGACTGGGCTTTTTGCAGCTCCCTTTTAGGATCTGGAGAGCTGACCGAGTCTGGTTTCAAAGGTAAAAAAAATAATATAAATAAAAAGGACCAGGAGGTCATAGGTGGGTTTTTATCAGGGCTTAGGGATAGATAAGGGATAACCAGAGGAGAGTCACAGCTTGTGCAACATTCTTGTGCCACGGTGGGTGATCTCCTTTTGGGTATCTGCATGCTGGAAAGGGTGGAGGAGGAAAGAGAGGGGGAAAATGCAACACCTAAACACCCAGGCAGTGGGAAGCTCTTGGAATTAAGCTGGTGGCAGAGCAGGCCCCTGGCATTTCTCAGGCTTTTGTATTGCAGACAAGCCAGGAGAAATGGTTTGGGCTGAGCACTGGGATCTTTCCATCTGTTTTGTGCACACACTTGTGTGGGGGGACTTGAAGCCTCTCCCTGGTGCTTATCTGGGTTGGGATGGTTAACCGAGGTGTGTTTTTTTTCCCCCAAATCCCACCTTTTCTGAGTTGGTGATCACTCCACTCATCCCTAGACAAGGCATGGCTGAGGCGGGGGCCTGGTGACAGCAGATACAAATGTGCAGATCACCCTCTCTGAACACCCCAAGGCTTTAGCAGATGGCTGAGGAGTAGTTGTGTTCTTCTACCCAGTCTTACTCATTGCTTTCTTCAGCATATAGATTTTCTGCTCAGCTTTTGTTTGGACCCGTGCTTTGTCTTGCGGCCTTTTGTACACCTGGGATTAGGTCTTTGGGAGCTCTGCCCTGAGATCCGGCGCTGCCCTGGGCTCCTGTGCCTGCAGCGGGGCTCAGGGAATGTCTGGCACGCTCCAGGGTGAAGCATTCCGCTTGGTTTCCCTTGCAAAGCACCTGATAAAAATGCACAAAAACTCCTCGCTGCACTGAACCCAAACATGGCAAATGGGGCCAACCGGGGCATCTCCTCCTGATGAAGGTGCTGATGTTGATAACAGCCAGTGGTGCTTCTGTGCTAATGCAAAACACCTGCACAGATGAAAGGAAGGCATTTTTCTGGTTGTGGAGACTAGAGGAAGTTTCCTGATCCAGACAGGAGATTTCAATGCCTGTGCAAGAGGTTTTCATGAGTGTGGCTTCGCCAGTGGCTGGAATTGAGGTGGGATGTGAGCGCAGACATGACCTGGAGAAGCAGAAGGGGATGATGCGGCCCATGCTTGCAGAACCAGAGGAATTAGTAGCTTAAGGTGTGTGCAAGGAGTCCATAGGAGCGTTGGCACAGTTCCTGGTGACACGCCTTGCTGTTTGGGCAGCGGGTACCTACTTCTTCCCCAAGCTCTGACAGTTTTTACCTCCTTACCTATACCGTGCCTCTTGTTTCCCCCTGGTCTTGAGGGGCTGACATGTGCTTCCAACCTGTGCCAAAGGACAAGTAGTGTTGAAACGTGGCTTCTCAGGTCAAGGTGCTTTCAGTGAATCTGCTGCTGGGGCAGTCGTGGCTGGTGTTTTCAGAAAAGTCAAGACTTTCCAGAAAGCCTTCTTTTGTACTGCAGAACCCAAGAGCTTCAGTTTCTTCCTCATCTTTCAGGTCAAAGGTGGGGTTTCCCCTGTGTCCTGATGGACCTCCGTGGTGGGACTTGGCCTCACGGACCAGCTTCTGCTGAAGTGCAGAGTGATCGCTGGATGTGCTTTGAAGCATGTCCTGAAATATTTAACTGTGTTAATGGCATTTGCTTTCTTTTCCCCTTACTTTCCCCATCGATCTGTAAAGGCTCAGTTCTTTGAGGGCCTGATTTGCATGTGAACATGAGGTGGCTGTTTGTCCCCTCCCGTGGTAACCTGTGACTGCTTTAAAAACCTCTTATCAGTGGGGTTTTCCCGTCCCCTCTATTTTTAGCTGAAATTAAGTGACTGATTTATATTTTTTCATCTTACAAAAGCTCACATCTGGCTGGAGACCAACGGGAGAACTTGTGCTGAAAAGAAAAATGTAGTCCAAAATCAGAGGGTTTCAAGAGAAATCATAACGTAAAACTGAAGTTACAGCGGCCTCCACCAGGTGATTTCCATAATGCCGAGCGCTTACTGCTCAGCTCAAGGTTTCCAAATGCTTGGGAATGATTCCAGCTTGTTTGAGCTTGGGAACAAAACCTCTCTGAGATGCCGCAGCCAGGGTGGAAGGGATCCAGGGAGCGTCGGGAAGCGGCGCAGCACCATCCCCATGCTGAAGGCTTGTTTTAATGACTGAAGCTAACAGAGCATCCCATGGCGTTTTAGGAGGAGTATTTGCAGGCTGAGTTCAAAATGCTTATTTGGAAATAACCAGTCACTGCCCAAAAGCTGCCTTGCTTACTCAGTTTTAGGAAGGAGACCGAGAGGTAGGACTGCTGTATTAAGGATGCTGAAGTGGTACCTGCTTTAGGATCAGATTGCAGACTTTTGGGGTTTGAGGGCATCTTCTTCACCCCTGATTCTGCTGGCATCCTTGTGAACAAAACCATCACTGTTGACAAAGTTGGTGTGATAAAGAACAACTGCATACACCCTTTGTGAGGTTCTCAGAGGTTTGTGCAACCTAAGCCATGAGAATTGAGCATGGGAGTAAATAAACAAGTTGTGCTGATTGTCTTCTGCTCTTTGTTACATTTGCAGTGGGATCTGTTTGTGAAGATCTTTTTTTTTCCTGAGTCTTTGAGGGTAGGCCACTTAAATGACTCACGGAGCTGTATTTTCTTTACAGTAATGAGGCATCATGACATACCAGTCGTGGGAAATCTGATAAACTTGGGAGACCCTAGGAGGGTAGAAAATTACTTAATTTACTTTGTGTGCAATAGTCTTAATTTTCAACTATTTGAACAGCTGATTGCTGGGGCAATCATCAGATCTTCAGAGTTAAGATGTTTCCTGCTGGAACAGAGCATTAGCTAAATCAAGGATGACTGGGGATGGCAAAACGGAGCAATTGCTCACGTCCATCTGAGGGTAAAGAGAAGAAATTAAATCCCCGAACCCAAGCCCCAGTGCCTTTTCTTTTGTGGGAAGGGTGAGGCAGGTGAAGCTCACCTGGTCTGGTGGTTAGTTACCCATGTGGGGAGCCGGGGCTGCGTGGCTTTTGCGGCGGCTCTGGTTGGCTCCGGCGGTGGCTCCAGCAGGAAGGAGCTGGGTCTGGTTTCCTTTTGAGAGAGGGTGAGCAGCCTCTGCTCAGTGATTCCCCTGCTATTTGCTCATTGTGAGTAAAGGCGATAAAATCTAGTGGTGGAATTACATTACGTCTTGGGTGCTTTCTTTCCAAATTACTAATAATCCTGCGTGTCTTTGACCCATTTCACGGAGACGGAGGGCTGGATTCTGCTGCCTGTTTCTCGTGAGCAGCTGGCTGGAGCAAATAGACCTTGAGTAAAGGGATTAGAAACCAGCCCTTCATTAGGGTTAGGTGTTGCAGTCCTTTCTTGAACAAGCTTTCCCTGAGAAGCCTTGCATAGGTACCTGCTCATAAAGCAACTTGGCGGTTTAGCTCACAGGGGTGGAAATAGAACCAGCGGATGTGCAGAGAGAGGCACCCAGGGTGATGGGACCCACTTTATTCATCAAGATCAGGCTTGTACTGGAGCAAAAAGGGGAGAGGACATTTCATTATGAAAACTGCTGGAAAAAAAGTATTTGTAATTGTTCAGAAAGGCAAATGGGCATGAATGTTAAGAGGCCTTCTCTTGTCTTTCTGTGCCAGCAGACAATGAAAAATTCAGTGTGAAAGTGCTTTCTTATTAAAAAAAAACCCCAAACTGGACTATAAAATGCAATACTAATTTCTGAAGGCTGAGAGCTGCATGAGTGAGAATATTTAATTACAGTGGCAAAGTACAAACATTTCCTAGCGAGCATTCATTGTGTTAATAATAATTAATTAATTCCTTGGCTAAAACATACATCCTGCTCGCTTTCTTTCTAAGTGGGCTGGGAATCCGATCCCACTTTTTATTTTATTTTGCTGACAACCTCCCAGCAAGTAGGGAGGGTGGAGACTGGAGACTATTTATATAAACAGAGGCTTTATGTTTCGCTGTGTGGATGGTTACGCCGGGGTTGCACGGTTTTGGTTTAGCGGAGCTCTGCAAACGGAGGCGAGGACTTGGGAGCCGATCAGCTGATTCAGGGGGACCGAGTGTCTGAGTGCTACAGCGATAAGTGTCTGTACAAATATTTATACAATACCGATAGTCTTTTTTGAATTGCATTATTACTACACAAAAAGCTGTCAGATTTCCAGGCTTTCCAGGGCTGTACTTCTTGCAGCTCGCGTGCGTTTTGCCAGCGGATGCGAGGGAGCTCCATTCCTGCTCGGAGCCGGCTGGACCCGCGCCATCACCCGGCCAGGAGCGGGGAAGGTGCTGAGCCCCTGCAGCACCCAGCCCCAGCTGATAAGCCCCGTGAGAGCCTGGCTCTATTAGTTCAGGCTTAGCGCTGAATTTATGCAATTATGTGGCACGAGGCTGACTCAGAGCAGCCAGGGAGTCAGACTGTGGGCTGAAGAAGCTCAGGGCCACCTGTGAAGGGTGATGGAGAGGTAACCCCCCCTGCATGTGAGAGCCGTGTTCTAATGCCAAACTGCAAACTCCCACCTCGTCCTGGAATGCTGTTCCTCCCTGTGTTGCTCACAGAGGGTCTGGCCTCAAGTCTGCAGCTGATGGTGGGAGGCTTCCTACGGACTGTACGTCACATTGAAAGTGACAATTGTCACCCCAAAAGAGAGATTAAGAAGCTGTGGGGGCTTATGTGCAGGAGGGGGGCATAACCAGATGTAGGTGGAATTGGACTAGGTGTAGAGGAGAACTCCTCTTGCGCCTTTTCTGCTGGAAGTTAGTCCAAATATCCATGTAGGCAGGTAGCCAGGCCTTGCTGGTGTGTATGGTTTGATGGTGGTTTTCACTGGATCTGTGTTTTTAATTAAAGCTTTTTCGAAGCCATGGGATTACAGGATCCTACTGGCACTCTGGGATAAAACTTGAAACTGTGACTTCAGTCCCACTTCAGATCAGATATACACAGGCAAGGTTCACACTGCCTGCTGCCATGAGGCCAAAGGGATTATTCCAGATCTGCAAAACCAACAAGAGTTTGAGTCAGTGGTTGGGAAGGCTGAAGGCTCCACCAGAGTGATTTGAGTAAATTGAGCACTGTCAGTGGAAAGAAGCGGCTGTCCCAGAGCAGGATTGGAATTCATCAGTAGCTGATCCAGCCCTGGCAGAGAAAGCCCTGTGTTTTCACATGCTGATAGTGGTTGCCTGTTCTGTTCCACTTATTTGTAAGATTAGGAGTTTGGAAAATATTTGCAAGGTTGTGAAGTCCGGGGTTGCTGCAGACTTCTTGGTGTCCTTCAGTGTCACAGCTCGGGATAGCTTTGGTTTTTAGGGATGAGCATGTGTCTTCCAACAGCTCTAAGTGTATCTCCAGAGGTTTCAAAGGAGTGGGCTCTTTACTTCCAGTGCAGCATTTGTTTGTTTTTAGGGCATGTTTTTCCCCAAGGGAAGAAGAGTAGCAATCCTGTGATCAAAGAAACAAAGCAAATTGCTGCGGAATTTCTGCCTAACAGTATTTGAAGAAAAAAAAAAAGTAGTGTACACTTAATAAATGAGTCACGTGTGCCTCAGCACCGGCCTTCTGGAGCAGTGTCCAAGCTGTCAGGTTTAGCAGCCAGGGCTTTGGCAGCCTTTTATGTTTAGCAGAGAGCAGTGTGTGTCTTCTGGGACAGCCCTTCATCTGGGACCCGTTTCTGTACAGTGAGATCAGAGCCACGAGGCTGCTTCATGTACCATCCCCTCTGCTGCTGCAAGCACGCTGGCTTGGACATGCAAGGAGAGGATCGAGTGAGTCAGTGAGGGAAAAATTGCCCCCTGATGCTTGTGTTAAGGAACAAAGCCAGGTTTGCCATGGTGGCTGGTTAATTCTCTGGGACCGCTGTGTGGGCCCTGCTCTTGCAGCACCCAGTGCCACATAACCGGCCAGTATCGCTGGACAGACCATGCACAGTGCAGCAATGTGGTTAGCCAGATAACAAGGGCATTGACCCTGTTTTTTCTGTCTGTGTTCTAACAGGAATAGCCCCATTCCTGAAATTTCACCTGCACACCTGAATCATCTCGTTTGTCTGTGAGATGTGGGTTGTTGCTGAGCCTGGCTGTAGTGGGTGGGATGGGGTAGATCCCCTCCCTCCGTGCTGTTGTGGGGCAGTGCTGTGCTCAGAGAGCCTTTACCAGGACAAGAATGATTAGGGATGGTTTTCTGGAAGTAGTGGGCTTGTCCTTAAAAATGCCTAAATGGGCTCAGGAGAGCTGCATGTGTTTCCCTGGCAGCCTGTCCTTTAACTTCCAGCAGGGATGTGCTCTGCCACTGCAGCATCCCAGCTTTGGAGGTGGCAGATGGAAGTGGTAAGTGCTCAGGGCAAGTTTAAGGCGACATTATTAATGTCACAAACCCAAAAAGAAGTCTGTGTGTAGGGTATTGCTCTGTGGACCAGAAACATTTTGTTTGGTGTCTCACAGGCAGCACAGCTGGAGCGGGCAGGTTTTGAAGGGGTCACCCGTCCCCCTTGCTGTTCCCCTGGTGCCAGTAGCTCTGTCCCTCTCAGGATGGACATAGTGGCATGGGACATCCTCACCTTGAGTTCCAGAAGTGGTGGCTGTAGCAACACACAGTTTTGGAGGGCTTTTTAAAAGCTCAGCTTTGGAGAAGATGGGAAAGGGAGAGCAGAACTGCTTGAAACAGCTTAAAAATGTGGGATGTACAGTGGAAGGTGCATGCAGTGCAGCTGTTTGTGACCTGATCTGATCCTGATCACCCACATGTCCCGTTACAATAGGCAGGAGCTGCAGGTGCTGCTGGAGCTGCAGCAAGGGGATGGTCCAGCCCCTCAGCTCCCATTTCAGTGTCTGAGGCTGCAGAAGCTCAGCAGTCGCAGGATCTCTGTAGAACTGGAAGCTCAAGGAGCAGCCAGACTTGGCAGATAGTGTCCAGAGTGGCACGTCTTACTCCAAAAACAAGGGACTGGCAGTTTGCCGCAGGAGTGGGGCTGTAGCCTCGACACTCTGTAAACGGTACCAAAATCAACGCCTCAGTTCTGTGGCTGGTCCCTGCAGACTCCTATCCCACAGATACCGTGTTACAGCACCTGCACCAGCACTTCTGTGGGGCAGAAATAAAAGCTGTGTGCATCTGCTTGCAAAGATACATGTACTTTCTGAACATTGTGAATGGCCTCGGCACCAAAATGGTAAAGATGCTTTAGAAAATTGCCTTTAATCACAGGAAAAGGTTTTCTTCTACTTAGATGGTGACCAGAGCACAGGTGCAGGGGAAAGGCCTAGAGCTGCTTTGGCTGGTTGCTCCATCCCTACCTGGTGCAGGGGTTGATGAGGTGCACTCAGGTGACAGCTGCTCTGGGATGTGCCCACTCAAGGGCTGAGTATTATAACTTTGCAAGGAGTTTTAATGTATCTGCCTTGACTACTAAGCATCTTCTGGCAGTAACCTGTGCCCGAGTGGACAGACAGACAGGTGGTAGGATCCTGCTCCCACGAGAGCCCACGGGGAGCCTGCAGCAAACCCCTCCGGCCACAAACCCAGCTGGTGCCCAACGCGTTGCCTAAAGGGGCAGATGTCGTCGTTGCTCAATGCGACGGAGACCCGAACGTCTGTTTATTAACGGATAAGACGGTCGGGCCGGCACGCGGCACACGGGCCCGGCCTGTGCAACTCCTGTGGTTTCCAACCGTACTTATCGAGGGAGGGGGCTGCCTGCCCAGGGAGGGTGTTTCCCCTAATCACCAGCTTCACATGCCCATGGTGGGCAGATGTGCGGGGGGCAAAAAGGCTTGGCCTTCTCCTAACAGCCACTTTGCCGGGCTCAGGGGAAGGAGCCACCTGAGGCGAGGCTGGGGAGCTTGGAAGAAACATGTTGCTTAGGACAAGTAAATATTCCCCAAGAAAGGGTAACATGGGGGGACTTCACGGATGTGCCCGTGGGCATTGTTTCCGCCATAAAATGGGGAAGGAGTTGACTCCTTGCAGTATTTCCCAGCCATAAGTTTAGCCCCAGAAACCCTTCTCCAGGTCCCTCAGAGGCTTCTTCTGTTGTCTGCCTTGTGTCCCTGAGACGCCGTGGGCAGTGCGTGAGATGGTCACGGGCTCAATTTAACAGCATCTCTCCCACTTATCAGACTATATAATAAACATGGCTTTTAGGGGGGACTTTTTGGGGAGGGGTGTGAGGCAGGCGGTGAATGGAGAGGCCAGACACCATTGTCTGGCAAGAATGTGAGTCCCTGGGGGCGAGCGCGCCTGGGCTCGCCTTCCAAATTGTCCCAGCATCAATCCCCCCTCCTTTGCGGGATTTCCTTCTCCAGCCGGGGTTTTGTTTCGGAACAAGCGTTGGTCAAACAAGCTTTTGTTTGCGGTCAGTTGCTTGGCACACATACACCACTTCTGGTGGGGGACAATGAGGAAGCTGTTTCGGGGGCAGCTGCGGTGGGACTAAAAGAGAATACTGATGGAAAAAGGGCGCGGGGAGGAAATGGCTGGGTGGATATTAATTGGGAGGATCTTATGAAGTCCGGGTGCTGCAGCAAGGTTGGGAGAGTAGCGGGGAGTCCTTCGATCCTGCTACCCCATCCTGCTCACCACCTCATGCTGGTTTGTGTTACTTTTTCTCCCCCGGGATACCCTGCCTCGGAGCAGAAAGTTGTACAAAATATTTGTGACTACGTGTCTAAAAAGCTTTTCAGGAAGAAGTAAACTTATTTACAGCAATAACAGAGTTTAAAAGGAATTGTATAAGTGAGACTGACTTCTTTGTCAGCAAAAATTGCAGCAAAAGTGTTCATAGATGACATTACCTAAATGACATTACGTACGTATGTCCTTTCTTTCACATTTCCTGTAATCCTGTTACGGCATTGTCCCATTACCTCAAGCACTGTCATCTTTAAATGCTGTCAGATCTTAACTGGATGGCCAAGGACATCAGCAAAGGATCGAGGTGAAGCTGATGGCAATTTCAGACCTGCTGTATATACGGCCATCTCCCAGCCTGCCCCTGGACACGGGGCGTTTTCTGATAACACGTTCAGGTAAAGTGATGACTCAAGGACTCTTTTATAGAGCTGCTGCCCACCACCACAGTGTCCAACATGCTTTTGTGGGAAGTGCAGGGTGTCAGGCACAGACAGGGTGTTGAAGGTGGCAGGTACAAGGCAGGTGCTGAGGACCCAGAGGTAAGCTGATGGAAGATGCCCTATGGGACCACAGGCAACTTTTCCCCCATAAAGCCTTTCAGACATTAACAGCCACTTGCGAAGCACACTGAGCTCCTCAGACTGAAGGTGCAGTTAAGTGCAACATCTTGGTGTTAATAGTTTTCAACCTTATTGTCTCTTATTGTGTTATTACTAAAAAATTTCTTCTACTCCAGCCATGAATGGGCCGCTGTGGTTTCTCAAAAGCGCTGCGAGACGTGGCGGCAAATGGGGCGGATTGCAACTTCTGCCATTCTCCTTCTGGAATACTCCGTGCTCTTAAGCCCCAGGAGTAGGAAGTGTTGGTGTCCAGGCTGTTTAAACTGGCAGCCCCTCTCATCAGGTTGTAATGGAGATGGTGATAGTTGCCAGCTCTGGGGGCAGGAACTGTCTTTTCGTTATCTCTGGGTGCAGTGCCACGCTCTGAGGGGCTCTGGTCCCCCGTGGTGGCCACTGGGCCTGGCTGCAGTGCAAACAACAGCAGCCCTGAACCTGAAGCACTCGCTGCAGACAAAAGTCTGTGCTCAGGCACACGGAGATGTATTTGCTTGCCCATCTTTGGCCCTGTTGGGCCTGTTTTCTCACAAAGCAGAGCTGCTCTGCATGTCAGCAGCAAGGGGAGTGATGCCAGCAGGGACCAGCATGTGGCTCCCAGATGAGTTGTCCTAGCTGTGTGGATGCAGAGGTGCTGCAGGCGGGTCACAGTGTGCCCCATGTCCTCCTGTGCACTGGGATGCACAGCAGCATGTGTGAGCTGATGGGTGATGGTGGTCCCAGCCCCCTTATCTGATGTGTTGTCAAAGTGGCGAAGAGCCAGAACAGGAAGACTCATGGATGGAGAGCAGGAGAGCAACTGTTCTCTTCTGTTCATTTGGCCCAATGCAAGGGTTAGACAGCAGCAAGGCTCAATTTAGTCCCAGAGATGCTGAAGAGCTGGGCCTGGATGCACAAATTTCCTGCTGAAAAATAACAGCAGAACAGCCCCTGGGGTAAGGGGGCATTTGTCCCTAACCCTGTCATGATATGACCGTGTAGACTACGCAGAACGTTATTTGCTTGATCAGGTGAGGTTAGGGGTTTTTTAATGGCTGTTACTGGTATCTTAAGTGCTGGCAGTTATAACATTTAACTGCATTTTCCTGTAAGAAAATACTTATCTTGCTAAAAAATGGGATTCTCTACGATGTTTTGTATGCTTAAAAACTCTTGTTTTCATTTAGTTGTCTGCCATCAGTGCTATCTTAATGCTTCCTCTGAGGCCAGTCCTCAGGTCTTATCCTCTGCCAGTCTGAGGCTGTGAGCAGGCAAAAATGTCCTTGCCAGGTCTGCCCACATGAGTGCCATCCTCACCTAATCCCTTCTCCTGCAGGATGTGCTGGAACCATCTAATCTCCCCTTGCCTCCCATAGCCCCCAGCAGAGCTCTCCCTGGAAAGGTCTCAATCCAGTGCTCCTAAACTGGCCACGGTTTGTGCATCTCTGCCCCATCTGGCTACTAAATTGATGCTTTTTTTGGATGCTGGAGTAGAATTTTTCTCTCCTTTCCAAATCTCTTAATAACTGAGGATTTGGGTGTAAAAGCACTAACTGCACTCCGTTCACTGGGGTCTTTTTTTCAGTCATAGCTTGGCTTTTTCTCCCCTATAGGCACAGGAACCATTTATAGCCGAGGTGGGCCGAGTTTGCAACTTATTAATCTCTGCCTTGCATGTGGGTTGAAAAGAGACACCATGCCTTTATCAAAAGCCAGGCTAGCACAAAAGCCTATGCAAAATCATCATCAAATCCTATTAGAGGTGGAAAATATCTCTCAGATCATCTCATTCATTTCCCTGCCAATGCTAGACTATTCCGAGAGTTAATTTTCTAGCGTCTGCCGCCAACTCCCTGTGTGACTGCAGGTCTGTCATCTCGCCTTTGGGTTGTCACTGTAACTTCCACGCATTTCCTTCCATTTCCAAACAAGCCTTGTTTTGTTCAGTGGTTGCCTGTGTTGCTCTTCGCCCTGCATTAGGTGTTATCAATGGTTTTTACGTGGAGAGCAACACCAGAGCTTGCTGGTGGCTGGGGAAGGCATCCCCATGGGATGGGGGTGCTGGGTGCTCAGGGAGGCTTGGAGAATGCCATTCCCTGGGCAGGTGCTCCATCCTCTGCAGCCACCACTACCTGCCGTGGGCCTTGGGGAAGTGAACATCTCCAAGGGAGGTTTGTCTCCTGCAGTTGTGGATGTGGGTTCAGTGTGAGCAGGTCATCCCCCATGAGGCAATTCTCTTCTCCAAGCCTCTGCTGGCGCCGCCTTCAATAAACTCCCGCCCTGAAATTCTGGACTGGCTGTGAGATCCACTCAGCAGGGAGGAAAAATAGTAATAATTCCACGCTGGAGCTATTTATAGCATTAAGCAAACACAGATTTCATTTCAAGAGAAGGAAACGGCGTCTAGGAGTGGAGTAACCTTCCTTGGAACTTCCCTCCGGTGCTGGCGGCGCTGATTGAATTCCCCGGCGTGGCGAGGGTCTGGGCAGCCCTGCCAGCCCCGGGAAGGTCAGTCCGGCAACTGTCACCCGGAAAGCATCAAAAAGCACGGGCTGTCGATAGCGACCTGCATTTGCAGGAAATTCTGAGGGCTTTCTAATTAACTGAGGATCTCTAAATTAGAGCGAAGCCACTCGACAAGCCCCCCTCGCACGCCTTAAGTGTCAGGGCTCAGCTGATCGCCGCATCTAAGAAGCACCTGATTTTTAGCAGGAGCTCCGAGACTCAATCAGCGCCTAATGGCTCCGTTTCAAAACGTTCCAGTGCATTTTTCATCTCTTACCCTGGAATTTATGCTCTTTGTTCCCCTGCTCAAATATTCCGGCGCTTTTCCTTAATTTCAGGCTTCTGCCTTGCGACAGCTCCTCTGCCCTAACTAGGCAGCTCATCGCTTGCCTCTCCCCGCGTGCCAGTCTCCGCCGTGGCCGCTCGCTCCGCTTTCTAATCAGTAGGTTTCAGAAATTCCCCCTTCCTCTCCCCCTGATGTATAGGTAGTGCAGTGGGGTCTGGAGTTTCATAATGAGCAGGAAACCCATCTTTAAGCAGACCCCTGTGTAATAGGAGCTGCAAAGTGGTTTGATTTCAGCTTTAAAACCCCTCCCTTTAAGGCAGCGAATGCAGTTGGCAAATGCACCTGATCTTGACCTCTCTCCTGCTGCTGTTCTGCAGCACCACGTATTTGGGCGCTGGTGCTCCTGATTTACACCATGGGCAGTGAGATCCAATCCTCATTTCAGCTGCATTCACAGCAGAGTTAGATTATGCACATTTAAACTGAGGGCTTCAAGCCGCTGGAAAACGAAGGGGGGATCTTTTCTGACACG